ACCTATTTAAAGTTAGGTATATGCATTTTTGCTAAGCATCCCACACTTTTAAGTATTTGTAGGAAGGTTTTCAACATTTTTATAACTTATAAGGTGTTTCAACTTTACTCGTGTAGTGTTTTATTAACAATGTGATTTGTAGAAAGTATAGTTTCCTCCTACAAATTTTGAGGTAAGTCCAAACTTATCGACATTGCATTTATTATTTCCTTAAGTGTTCGATTTTTGCGTTCAGGAGCATCGTTAGATTGGGGTTAGTATGGTGTCGTTGTTTGATGAATAATTTCAGATTCTGAATAGAATTCTTCAAATGGTGCAACATATTCTCCACTTCGATCACTACAAAATATTTTTATTCGTTTTCCAAGTTAATTTTCAACTTCATTTTTATAGTGCTTAAACACTTCCAAATCTTCATCTTTGCTTTTCAACAAGTATACATAACAATATCTTGCACATTTATCAATAAATGTGATGGAATACTTTTTACTACCTTTTATTTGAACAAATTTTAAGTCTCGTATATTGCTATGAATAAGTTCGCTATGAATAAGTTCCAAAGGTGTGTTTCTTTCAATTGAATGAAATGGCATTTTGGCTAACTTAGCCTCAACACAAATCTTGCATTTACCATTTGTATTGAAATGCATGTTTGGTAGCAAACTTAAATTCATTAACTTGCATACAGAATTAAAGTTTCCATATCCTAATCTATGATGCCATAAATTAGATGACTCAAAAATATAAGTAGAAGGGAATATTTTATTATTTGAATTATTCGGTACAATAGTAAAGACATTCATCTTGAATAGTACATTGCTTACACAGCATTTGCTAACATACATATTATTTTTGGTAAGCATAAACTTATCCTATACAAAGACTAGTTTGAAGTGTTTCTTGCTAAGTAAAGAGCTCGACACTATGTTCTTGCGAATATCCGACACATGAAGTGCATTGTTAAAGCTAAGTTCCTTGCCTGATATCATCTTCAACACCACTTTGCCATGTCCTTCAACCTTTGAACTCAAAGAGATCCCTATGAATAATTTCTCACCATTAGTGGGAGTGTAGGATGAGAACATTCTTTATCAGCACAATTATGATGGATAGCACACGCACCGACAAGTTAATATCTTATATACCATCAGATAATGCATCAGATTTGGTGATATTTGCTTGAGCTTGCTTCTTTGGTTTACAATATTCAATAGAAGGATGTCCAACATTTCCACAATTGTAGCAATTTTCCTTAAACTTCTTTGCCTCTTTTGTTATTTCTTTGCTTGAAGCATTCGACGAAATGCTTCATCTTTTTGTTCTTTTCATTGGTTTCCACCACAGTAGCCTTTACTTGTGGTATATGACTTCCAATTAGCATGTCAAACTCTCTGTTATCTTCTTCAATCCTCAATCGGACGATGATTTCTTCAATGTTTATCTTCTTGTGCTTGTGCTTGTGCTTGAGGGAATTCTTGAAGTCTTTCCACATGGGTAGAAGTTTATCGATGATTGCAGCCACTTTAAATGATTCACTTAGAGACATGTTCTCGGCATGAATGACATGAAGAAAAACTTATAATTCTTGTACTAGCTGATGACCATTTGGGAATCTACCATCTTGTAGTCCAAATATTTCCTAAAGATGAACTTTTTTGTTCCGGCGTCTTCAGTTTTGTATTTCTTCTCCAATGATTCCCATAGTTCCTTTGCGAATTTCATGGAACTATATATGTTGTATAACGTATTGTCCAAGCCATTCAGAATGTAATTCTTGTAGAAAAAATCTAAATGTTTCTAAGCATCCAATGCTATTATTGATGCCCAATTGTTTTCCTCTTCTTGCATGACGAAATCATTTTCATTTAAGAACTTAGCCAAGTTTAGTGTTGTAAGATAGAAAAAATTTTATATTGCCATCTTTTAAAATCAACCCCACTAAACTTTTCCTATTTCTCTCCATGTGGAAAGGAGGTTGGATGAACGGTAGGAAAGGGAGCCAAGTTTGGACGAACCACTTCCGAAACACCTACATACAAAGTCACCACATTCGAAGTAACCACATCTAAAGTAACATCAATGGTGATGTTAACAGTAGCCATTTCTATTTATACAAATAGAAGTTTAACCAAACCAAGATTAGAATTCAAGAAGGAGTAGAAAAGTTAAACTGAAACAAAATTAGTTTAACCGAGTAAATAGAAACTTTGTGAAGATATCACTCAACAATAAAATTCGACTTAAGATTGTTGTTTGTAAATAAGAATTGAGTGATTTCTTTAACGTGAAACAAACTTGCCAAACCTACCAAAATAGAATAGAAAGTAAATGGAAAATTGGACAGAATAATGCTAAGGAATGAAATGCAAAGGATAGACGCAAGAGTTAAACTCTTTTTCCTTAAGTCGAATATATCCCTCACAGATGCTTACAGATTGTAACAATCAACTCCTAAAATATAATGATTGGCTTCTTTTTTTGCAGCACTTCAAAATACAAGAACAACGAACCAAAATATTGGTTTTGTACCCGTCTTTTAATGAAAATAAAACAAAGGTTTTGATGTAGAATTTTGGCAATAAAATGATGTTTATATGTTATGCTATGATTGCATAAGATAATAGTGAATGAAAACAACACCAAGTTGTCTTATTTATAGGTGTAGAAGCATTACAAACCCAAGAGACACAGCCCAAATTCAACTCGTTTCACTAAAAGTTGCCCAAGTTCACTGTCGCTCGCCTACCGCTAAAGCAGTAATTTTAGAGAACTTGCCACTCGTCTAGCGCTGGGCTGTCGCTCAAGCGACGATCTTATATGGAAAATTCTATTTTTCTAAGTTAAAATCGTGTTTTCCAACCCAATTCATTTACTAACCTCTCATTCGTTTGGAAATAATTTTCAACATCCAAATATACTAAATTCATCTAATCAACGAGTAGAACATGATTGACCAATTTATCATCAAATTTGAGTAGCGAGACCCATCCAAATATTTGGTTATAGTTTGATAAAAATCTTTTTATTCAACTTCTTGTTGCTATTTTCCAACACAAACTAATAACGAATAAAAATTCAATAGATATTGCCTCTAAAATACTTTAAATCCCTCAATAAGAAATTGAGATAAGTGTATAAAACTCGTTATTTTTTTATATTTTTTAAATGTAACATTAGTAAGAATTGATGTATCCATATTTGCAACAAGATAGAACTATTTATATGGATGTATTCGTTTTAAAGTAAATACACATCAATATTGTTCGGATGTAAGGTACATATATTTGCATCTTGAAAGAGCTTTGTTGAAGTATATATAAAGTCTTTCATAAATCCGTATGAAAATTGTTAGGTTTTTAGTGGTGGCTATTCCGTGGACAAAAAGACCAATTTGTAATGTGTTGTAAAAGTCAAGGACCTAGGGTGAAATTTGTATAAACTGGGTTATGAGGTCTAGGGTTCGAGCATAAAAAGAGGAGAAACACGGTGCCGTATTTTCGCTGGCCTATCGCCTGGACATTGCTTGAGCGACAAAAACAGAATGTCAATCGCCCGCTGGTCGCTGAGCTCACGTTCGAGCAACGGTGTGTCACTCGCCTGTCGCTAGCTTCTCGCTCGAGTGACAGGTTGATCGGGGAAAACCCTAATTGCGATTTTGAAGAGTTTTACACGGCCCATAACACATAATCGTTTCCAACTATAAATACAGATGTCTGTGACGAATGGGTTGCTTAAGTGTGCTACAATTACAAAACACTTTCATATCATGAAGAGTTTTACATGACCCATAACACATAACCGTCCCCAACTATAAATATAGATGTTTGTGATGAATTTTCACATGGGGTTGCTTGAGTGTGCTACAATTGCAAAACACTTTCATATCATTGTTTGCTAGATCCAAGAGGCAATTCATTGATTGATTCCTCCACATCATCCTTGTGATCCGGCAACCGAGTTTTGGGACAGCATCAANACAGAAGGTAGATCGGGAGATTTAGCAAGTTGGCTAGTTAGTATCTACGGTAGCAGATCGTGAGTCTGGAAGGAACAACAGATCTTGGAGTTGCAGGGTTTACACAGCTAGTGGAATTAGTTTGGAATTGAACGGTAACTCACATTGTCTATAGTAGAGGTAACTGACTTGGTCTTGCAGTTTTTACTCAGTTGGGTTTCTCTGTCATCAAACTTTGTGTTATTTATTGCTTTCCAAATATTACAAGTGTGGTAATTCAACTTAGGAAAATTAGATTGTATGCTTAATAATCTAGAAACTAATTAAAAGTGACTTGTTGCTTTAATTAACGTAATTCCGCACGTAAGGTCAAACTTAGTTAGTAAACTACATAATTTTCAAAAATAAATATTTTATGAATATAGTGTCAGTTTTACAGTACACGCTTATAAGTAACCTTCACAAAATCATTTATTGATGTATACATCAAGTCATACATTCATATTATTAATCTGTGGATTGACCCACTCTTTCCTCCAAGTGATAATTTCAACAATAAATATTGCAGCACACAGGAAAAGAATTATAATTATTGCGTCAATCCACTTGAAATTACAGTAACTATTCTGCACATTGAAGGAAATTTGAAATATCTATAATTGAGATTGTGTCAATTCCCACATGTAGCGAATGCTATTAATTACAACATGACATGGAAATGTTTTTTAGGAGTTTTGTTGTGGATTTTGTAAATTTGAATGCAAAATCTTCTCAGTCATTGGCAATCTGCAATTAATAATTCAACTAAAGTAAAGAACGGGATAAGAAAAAGCATAAGACTAGTTGTAGTCTGATTTTATTAGGTAGCATTTTGATTACATGTGATTAGCCTAAGGCAATCTGATTTTTCATATCTGCAACAAAATCTACACTCCAGTTGTTCCCTATATTAACCATCTCTGAATGCCTCTTCAGAACCAATTACCTGGCTTCAAAAACTACTCTCTCTGTCTCTGTCTCTGTCTCTCTCTCTCTGTAAATAGCCATGGATTCGTTCAATGCCAGTGTTGCTAGCACAGACATGTCGGAAGAGTCCCCTTGCAATGACGTTCAACAAGAGGCTTTAAATTCCAAAGAAATCATTGATCAAAGCCAATCCGATGAAGGGGTGAATAATCACGAGTCGAGCTTGTCCGAGTCAGTTTGGCTGAGTCCTCCTCCAAGGCTGTCAGGGTCATCAGATAAGCCACCTCCTCCTCCACCTGTGGATGAGGAAGAGGAGCGCGAGTATAGCTGCAAGTATTGTGACAAGAAGTTCTCAAACAAGCAAGCTTTAGGCGGGCACCAGAATGCGCACAAACTTGAACGCACCATTGAACAAAATTTCCAGGAAGGGCAGATATCTAATTTCATTGGTTCTTTCAAATCATCTAGAGCCCTTATGTACTCTTATTTCCCTCAACAGGGCACCATGCACCATGAAATGATGGCTTATGAGCGTGGACCCCATCCCCTTTCAGGGATTAACGAGGGTTACCCTGGATCTCTGAGGCCTGTGCCTGGAAATGTTCCTCAGTTTGTGGCACGTCCTGGTTCTTTACGCCTGGAAAATCGTCCTCCAAGGATTCACTTTCCGACTCCAAGAGGTGGAATAAGCAGTTCATTTTCACAGCTGGTTCCCTACAAGAACTTTCGGGGAGAGAGTAGCAATGTGCAGATGAATGGTCGAGAGACTGAGCAAGTTGAAGACGACGACAACTCAGGCCTAGATTTGTCTCTCAAGCTTTAATTTGATCATTTAGATCCAAGAGAGCCTAGATTTATGTATCAAGTTTTATTTTAGCTCATCAAATTATTGTAATATAGGGTTTAGGATTTTATGTTCATGCTTAAAGTCTTTTTTGTCTTATGTTCATGTCGCTGTAATAATGCTCTATTATATTTCTCAATTTGTCTAAAAAATGTGTTAGAAAACAAGCAAGATACCAATTTGTTGTGGACTGAGTCAAATAATAAAGACGAGAAAATAAAAGCAATATGAAAAATAATGGATCACACAAGAATACAAGATTTATGTAGAAGATGAGGAGAATTTCATATGTCAAGAAACTAAAATAGCGTTTACAAGATTTGATAATGTCAATCTAAATCTAAACAATTTTCTCAAAATTCTAATGTATACAATAGTGATCTAATTATTGTATTTTGTCTATGAAGAGCCTACACCAGATGGAGTATATATAGGAATCAATTACAAATGTTTTGATGAAATAATACTTAAGAAACGAGTCAGAATCGAAAAATGATTCCCACCAGAGCGCCCGATGGACAGCAGCTCCACCACTCAAGCATTGTGCCAGCTCCCTGTTCCGTTTTTCACCCCCGATGCTCGAGTGTCAGAGTTAGCGGCCAGCTAGCGAAATTGCGGCGACCTTTTCTCCACCAAAACTCCAAAATCAAGTTTTCAATGATCCAAAGTTCTTTTACTAACTTTCAGACCTTGATGAACTTTGATCATTAATCAACCGGACTTCCGAACCAAGAAGACTCTTGTTCCTTTTATCAATTTACCAACTAAATTCTAAACCCAATAGGAATTTTGGTCGTACTCGAACAAATGAATTCAATATTTAATCAAGAGAATAAATTGCACATCTTAGTTACTGGTTTTTCTTGTGAAATTGGGAAGTTACTTTTCTGAAAAATAAAATTAACTTTCTATTAAAGTGACATTTTGTAATAAAAAAAATTAAGAACATAACTTTTAGGATTAATAACAGAAAACCCCATAGAAACATTTTATTTACAATATACCCACACCTATTGGAAAATACAGAAAACTCCTCTATTTGAATCCTTTTGTGTGAGAAACCTCCCTACCATCAAATTTTCCGTTAAAACAATAAAAATGTCAAAATTTAAAAGTAATAATTGCAATTTTATTGTTCAAACTTTTTACTGTTTTACAAATTATACCCAATTTTTTTTATGTACCACCCACAATCTCAAACCTTTAAAACTTTATTTTTCATCCCACCCCACTTCATCTTCTTCTCCAAAACTTTATTATTTTATTTACTCCCTTCCAAAATCATCCTAAATCACTCACTCCAAATTCATCGTTTCTTCTTCTTATTACAAATAGGGATCTTTGGAGTGAGGGATTTAGGAGCTAAGAAAAGGGCTTTTGACAACCAAAAGAAATATTATTTAGCTTAAGTGTTTTTATTTTTTCTACTTATATGTACGGTCGATATGGAAATAGTTATAATGTATATCTTTTTCTTTTTTCAGTTCATTCTACATGAGCTTAGTTAAAGTTTAATCTAAAAATCAATGAGCTGCAGTCATCATTATCTCTCTCACCACTTTCATGTATGCTTTCATCCACTGTGTATGTGTTCTAAATTTATTTTAATTTCAATATTTTAGTTAAGTTGCACTCATTTGACCGCATATGAATATTGTCTCTATTAAATTTTGTATAAGCGTGTATTGGTTATGATTTTTCATTGTTAATGAAAAGAAGAAATGATGAATTTAGGGTGAGAGATTTAGAAGAATTTTGGAAGGGATTAAATAAAATAATAAAGTTTGGGGAAGAAGAAGTGGGGTGGGCGAAAAATAAGATTTTAAAGATTTGGGATTGTGGGTGGTGCATAATAATAATAATAATAATAATAATAATAATAATAATAATAATAATAATAATTGGTTATAATTTGTAAAAGAATAAAAAGTTTAATGACTAAAATTGTACTCATTACTTTTTTATTTGGACATTTTTACTGTTTTTAACGGAAAAGTTGACGGTGTGGGATTTTTCGTACAAATGATTTCAAATTGGGAGTTTTTTGCGATTTCCGATAGGTAAGAGATATATCGCAAATGAATATATTTCTAGGAAACTTTCTGCTATTAATCCTTTATAATATTATCGAAGCATAGTCATACATATTCATAGAGATGTCGGAATTTAGACTTATTTCAAACAATAATAAGTTCTGAATTCTAATATTGATTAACGACAGTTATGTCACCGGCAGTTTGACTTTATACCTACGTACATGCTAGTTAATTAAGCCCAGTTTCACACCCATTATTTAAAAAAAAAATATTAGAGTTTTGAATAATAATTTTTAGAAGAATGTGGGGTAAAAAGTATTGAAAATTTTTAGATTTATATGAAAAATATTTTATTGAGTGAATGTGTGACTGAAAATTAGTATGTGAAAAAAGAGTTTGAAAATAATAGTTGTCAAAACAGGGGCTAAAGATATTTTCATTTTTAACAACTATGGATTTGACAAAATGTTTTTGAGTAAATAATTTGGTCAAACTTTATGTTTATTATCATATTTCCTTGAATTCACAGCATTTATCCATTTTTAATTATACGTTTCACTAGAACAACCAATTAAAAAAAAAAAAAAGATGAATTGCATCCCTCACCTGTCCTGCCCTGGGTCTTGGTGAAGGAGGTAAATCGCAGGTTATGCCTCCAATGATACAGGGTGAAAGACTACTTGTACACTTGCACTTATCCAATGGCCAAATCCATATTTCAGGATTCGAATCCTTGACGCGGCAGTCTCAAGCAAAATTGGAATTTTTTCACCTTCCCCTTTTACTACTTGGAGATGTGCCCTGGGGGCAACAACCAATTTAAAATCTCAAATAGCTTTGTCAAAGAGAACAACTTAAAATTTCAAATAGCTTTGTCAAAGAGATCTATATTGTTCAGTAGATAACAATATTATTTCATTAATGAAACAACAGTTGTAAAAACAAACACGCCAAAAAAAATTTATTTAGCACTCAAAATAAACTGAATTGAGGCAACAAAATTTATCTCACAAATCATTATTCACTGTGCCACTCTCTCTCCTATTCTTCACTTTGTGTTTCTCTCTTCTCACACAATTTCTCTTTCTCTGCACTCTTTCTCTCCTTCTCACATTCTCTAATCTATGCATACACAATATATATAGTCAGTATTAGTTTATAGATAGAAATGTCAGTGGCTTTTTCTTCTAAACAATTCCATTTGGCGGTACAAAAAATAACATAGCAAGCATTCTAGTTTCTTCTACTATGACGGTGTATAATCAATGGTTATGATTATTCTACTTTTTCCCGATTCGCTGCGCTTCATAATTTATTTTCTCCATGGCGTTAGGCAGCCTTAAAAGAACATTTTATGGATTTACTTGAGGCGGTGTTGTATAATCAATTTTCCCCTTTAGCAACGACTCTTCGATTAATTATTCTCTTCTAATTATTTCAAGTTGTGTTCGAAACTCTTCAAATCTGAGGCATTGAGTCCTTTCGTTAACACGTCTGCAACTTGTTTTTCAATGTTGACGTGTTTCAAGTCAATCTCCCCTTTAAGCACTTTTTCTCTAAAGAAGTAATAGTACACTTCGAGTTGTTTAGCCCTTGCATGGCACACTAGATTCTCTACTACGGGAAAAGTTGATTGATTGCTTGTGTGGAGGTCTGACAGAGCCAAGGGTGCTTGGACGTCACTTCTTCATTTCTTTGCTTTTTTGAGGCTCGGATGATTTATTATATCCCTTTTATTCACTTTATGACAAGATTCATTATTGAAATATGGAAATGTTGCGCTTTTTAGCACCTTTTGCAAACCTCAAATAGTCTCGATTTCATTCATTTTATCGCATAGCTTATCAATTGATATAGGTGATGACCATCAATTGTTTTAGCCATATACTTTCTTTACCTGCCGTTGTTGCTCTATATTTTGCCTCTGCAATAATAGTTGGTAGTCTCTTATTGCAGCATGACACTATAGCTGACCCAAGACTGAACAAGTAGTCAGTTTTCGATCTTTGTGCATCTCGAGATCTAGTATAGTCGACATCACAATACCCAACAATCATACAATCTTTATTATTTTTTGTAAAAGAGTCTATAATCAATTGTTTATTTTACGTACCTTAAGATCTATTGCACTACTACAAGGTGTGGCATCTTAGGTTTCTCCATAAAGTGGCTTGCTATCCCAACATATGCGATGTCACGTCGTATCATTGTCGGGTATATTAAACTAATTGTTGTTGCATGATTGCATTCTCCAAGTCCTTTAACTTGGAGTTAATCTCCATTAGTATCGATATTGATTTGCAATTGATTGTCCCAAACTTCTATAAAAGGTTTTTAGCATATTTATGCTAGCACAAGAATAACCCTTCATTTATGTCTTTCCATCTCGAGTCCTAGAAAATGATTTAGCTCTCCAAAATCTTTCATTTGAAATCTTATCAAGATTCTTCCTAGCTCACTATATATTATCTTCATCATCTCCTGTGATGATGAGATCATCCACGTATACTAATACTGATAGCCCAAGAATAATTAATCTAAATTCAAGCAAGTAAAGATTAAATATATTAATTCAAATAATAACCAAATATAAAAGCGAGAAGTAAGAGGGAGAAAGAATGCAAATGATATAATTGTGGAGGTTCGATCCAAAACAATGATCGAAGTCCTCTGATACCTAGCTTTCCTGTACGAGCAAGACCTTTTCACTATATTGAATGACTTATGGTGCAATCTGATGAGTGCATTTTATTCATACTTTAGATATCATCTAAACTTGATATTTAACTTATTTCTACCAGTTTTAGAACGTTTTAATGTGTGTTTTGATATTGTGATATAGGTTGATGAAATTGAAGGAAATAAGCAAAAGTTGGCAAAATTAGAGAAGAGTGCTAAATTGTAAGAGATCCAAAGTTCGGGGACTAAAGTGAAAATACTCAA